CGGTCGCCTATACACGACAGCATGCTCCATCTCGACGGGGCGAACCGCTGCGACCGAGAGCGTACGCAAGGTCTCCGTCCGGTCGGCAAGAGGCGGAGCGGTGGGGCTGGCTGGAGAGACGGGCGAGACGGGCGGCTGCTCCGTCGACTGGGATTGGACTGAGATGTCGATAACGCGTTCGCCTGGCACGCCTGCGTTTATGAGGTAGAGCTTCTTGATGACGCTTGCGCCTGGGGCAAGCATGCCGCCAGAAATGGCTTTGAGGAGACTCGTCGACCGTTGGTCGTCTATCGCGATATAATTGACTATCATTTGCAAGATCAGCACGACAATCCTGCATGATATGCAGAAGTGTACATACCAGCCTCGTCCATCTCTGTTGGTTGAAGGAGCACATCCAGGACGACGTCCAGCTCCCGATCGTCCTCGTTCGTGATGCAAATCTCAATCGGGAACTCCTCGCCGACATACGCGGGCCCCTCATGGGAGATCGCGACCTGCACTTGGTGGCTCCGCCAGCGCACGTTCACCGCAGAGTGGTCTTCACGGCGAATAGGTACAAAGCGCGGCGGGTCGACCGAGCATAGCCAACGAGGAGCTATCAACGCGTGTTCTGATCGGGCGATCGAGGGGATAATGGGAATCTCGAGCCACCAGCTGTTTTCCTTGATAGTGAGCACAATCTTAGAGACCTAGATGCTCACGTCAGATGTCCATGTCGATCTTTATATATCCAGTACGGGACCTACCGTGACTTGCGTCGGGATATTCGAGGAGACGCTCCCGGTGAAAACAACGGTCGTACCAGGACCCCACCGCAACGTCGCTTCGACCTGTTTGGGCTCGGTCGGAGCAGGGTTCACGACCACTTCGCCCAAGTCGAACCGCTGCACTGCCGCTATCTCAGCATCGGGATCCCCCTGATATTGTCTGACCACGACTGGAGGCACGTCCGAGCTGAATTGGATCGCTAGCGTCGCGAACGGGAGAGAGGAGAGGGAGACGTTGGGCTGGGAAGAAAGGATGAGCTGGAAGGGCGCCTGCGTGCCCACGTCGACCTCCGGATCCCAGAATACCACCGATGCGTCCACTGAAAGTGTAGTCTCATGATGCGTATAGGTACAGTTAGAGAGGACAGAACTCACGAATGGGCTTCGCCTCCGAGAGGTCGACTACTAAAGGCTCCTCGGTGACAGACGGCACTGTACTCTGCCGGTTAAGCGAGTCAGCTGTCTAATGCCACCTCCCGCATACGATGCTCACCTTGAGTACAGCCAACAGATCATCCTGAGGCGCATCTGGATCATCTGCTGAAGCGGTCGCGCCTTACAACACAACGGTTCAGGACAGCACGTAGCACGGACTTGGTCATATGCGCACCGTGACCAAGCATCTCGACAAGCAGCCGCACACTGAGTTCTACGTCGCCAAGCTGCTGCGCACACGCATACCACTGCAAGAGGAGTGGGCTTAATAAGGAGCCCCAGCTCTCCCTTCGATATGTCTTTGCGATACGTTCGAAGAACCTGGGAGACGTTTCAGCAGGCCTTCCTTTAGCGAGATCGCAAACCTTCACCCACCGAACAGCCATATCGAATTTGCCCGATTCATGATACGTCTGTGCGATACGGTACGCGATCCAGAGCGTCAGTCTTCCTGGATTCTGGTTGTTTTGCGGCGTCAATTTCCTAAACAGCTCGTACGAGCGGGTATATAGCTGATGATACTCGATCATCAGAGCACGAGCGTGGCGGAAATACGGGCCAGATGAACTCACCTCCAGAACGATCGCCAGGTGATCTACCTTCTTTTCGTTCGCGAAGCCTGGAGAGCTGGTCTTGTGGTCTTCGCTCTACGTAAGCCGTCAGTATAAGCTAGTCAGGTAACAAACTGCAAGAAGCGTTCTAGTACCTCTGACTCCAGGGCAGTCAAGAATCGCTCCCGACGACGCTCTGTGCAACGCGCAGCCATGTAGTAATAGAACCCAGGATGCTGCAACGCTTGATTGGGATTTAGACCCAATACGCGCATGGCTTCCTGTCCCAGTTGCGACGCCTCGAGGGATTGCACGGCTAGAACCGGCGCAGACGGCGCAGCAGCAGAATAGGGAGAGGGAATCTTCAGCGTGGACCGGGTGCCTTGCTCAAGCAATTCCGCGAACACACGATGTCTGCGTGCCTAGTCAGCAGATTCTTCGATACAAAGGGCAAAGGCTCACTGTCGCGCAAGCCAACTCCAGAATTCGAACGTCTCTTCACCAATGCCCCACCCTCGCGAAAAATCCGCGAACTTGCGCATGTGGCTGTTCTGGTGCGAGAGCGCGAGCGAGTGCTCGTTGTTGTACAAGTACAGCTTCACGATCTGCGTCCGAACCGCCGCGTGAATCACTCCCTACCGATGAGAAGAAGAGCAGGACTCTATACCTTGACGTTAATGCAGTCTGCTAGGACCTTGGCTTCTGCCCAACGCTTGGTCCGAGGGGGAAGTATTGCAGTAGAGCCGAACATAATGAGCAAAGTCGAGTATGCGTCTTGGTAATGTCTGAAGATACGTTCAATTGGACTGCGAAACACCCGTTTGGGAGCACATACTTCAACGCGACCTGGTCTTCTCCTCGGAACTCTGCAAAGCTCGCCATCTTGAACTCGTATCTGACTGTCCAGCCCTCAGGGCGAAGAGGTCGGGCAACACCGGCACTCGCCATGGGCGACAATGAGATCTGGTACGAGCTCGCTTGGGAGTGTCGGTTGCGCTTCCGTCTTACACGCTTTGAATGGTTGGTGTAGTACTCCACGGCAGGATCCCATAACGCATCCTGCAGACTGACCATGTACGTCAGCCCTAAACCATGCTACGTCTAAATCGGTTTACCTTCGCACAAAGTCACCAATCTCCGCTGGCGATACAGGACTCAGAACAAACAATGCGGCTCTGGGATCCAATCCGCTCTGCCTCCGGATGTAGGTGAGCCGTGCGTCCAATGTCGGGTCGTCTATGGACATTTTAATGCGGTGATCTGATCAACCTCATTAGTAGCAGCCTACCAAGCATCCGCCGACTAGCCATCAGAACCACCGTTAGCTTGATTCCGTACTCGTTCGTGCTCTTCTTGCGGTGAGCTATCTCAGCGGACAACTCCGTATCGCGACGTTTCTCTTCTACCTCGCGTTCACGCTCGTCCTGCCCAGGTTGGGCCGGGGGAGACTCGTATATGCGCATGAACATCACAAAGACTGAGGGAAGGAGGGTCGTGTGCTTGCGAATCCATATAGGCGCGATGATCCCGTCCGGGTATAGTGGAGACGTGGGGGTTAATGGGGAAAGCGGGGAATGCGCTGAGGGGTGCTGCGGGTCTTCTGGGCGGACAAGTTTGCGCGGCGGAAAAGACACGTCCTACGGTGTTGTCACATACTGATGCTGTCTCCAAGAATTACCGACGCACCTTGTCGACGAACACCACCTGGAACGTTTTTGGCTTCTCTGGCTGCCAGATGGCCACCTTACGCTGCGCCGCCAGGGCATCGCGGAGTCTCAGGGAGAGTACTTGGAATGGATCCTGCTTTGCAGGCGGTTGAGTAGAGGTAGCGGGAGGCGTGTTCGCAGGAAGAGGCTGCGGGGACGGCACATCAAGCCCAGCCACATACATGACTGGAGCCAGTTGCACAAGAAACTCCGGAGGATACGAATTCATCCTGGCAATTCTAGGTGAGATTAATCGTCGCGAACCGCTGCCAACGATCTAGCATTCAATATTCAAGCGATGACTGATATTGCTACAACCGCATGCCATCTGTCAGAATCCGCTCCAGTCTCTTGTGAAGCATCGCGTACGCACTTGCAGTACCGTTCCTGTGAAAGCCCTACCACGGCCACTAAAACAGCGCATTTACTGAGACTTATAGCGACGTATCAGAACGTCCGTGCACAGTTTGCGCTACACTGCCCCCCAAGAGACGAAAGTGGGATGGTAAGCAGAGTGTCCTACTTGGAGCCGATGGGACGTCCGCCAGTACTACTGTACCGGACCCAGAAGCGGGACAGCTTGCAGAAAAAAGTGACTGCTTCCTGCAATTCACTTCTTTTCTCTTTGAACTCGCCTCAACCAGGCGTGCCACTGCCTAACAGACACTTCCACAAAAACAGGAGGATGAACAGACGTGTGGAAGGAGTCGGTCTTGGTGAGGACCGGGAAGCGGGACACCAGGCCGGTTGACGTGTCACAGGGTGTCACGTTGCCGAGGCTTGCCGATTTAAGAGTCCGCTCATAACACCACTCGGCCGCCCGCGCGACAACTCGTAGGACTCGAATGTTAGCAATTGACAATGAATCATGTAATCAACGACCATGTTACAAGAATAGATTCAGTAGTATCGGTAGGCATAGCCAGGTCTATTGGGAGTGTGAGTAGGGGAGATGTCGAACAAAGGAGGGCGGTCAACACTTGGCGGCAATAGGATGCGCGTGAGGAGGTTCTGCCATACAGTGTGGTCATACCGGGCTGACGCGCTGTTTGAAATTCCGCTCGAAGTTAGCCACTGACGACGAGCTGGATGTCACGCTCTGGGTGGTCAGCTCTCGTTTCGAGCTACAGACGACTCAGGAGACCAGTCTGCCTGTACCATAGGGATCGTTAGGCTCGACTGGACACATATGTGGAGGTTTTCTTGCAAAAGAGACTGGAATTGTCATGACTGAGGCGAGCGCTTGCTGTGAAGCAGCTCAGTTACCTGCTTGATATTCGGATTACTTCCGTTCACCACCTCCTCTTCACATCCTTCTTTTACTGGCAGCTTCGACGAACATGCTTCAAGCCAACTTCACAAGTTAATAGGAATTTAGAGGGGTATTTGAGGGACAATAGCCATTTGTCCCGCTTCCCGGTCTGCCCGGCGCCTGTCCCGCTTCTGGTCCAGTACAGTACTTGTTGCTTTCAATACGGTGGCGGCAGCCTTGACAATGAAAGTAAGCCGAGATTAGTCACACAGCATACAAATGTAATTCCCGCTTAGCTCAGTTGGTAGAGCGCGTCACTAGTACAGTGATGACGAGGTCAGTCGTTCGAGTCGGCTAGTGGGAAACTTTTTGACTTGTTGCACACATCATCTATGATGCGTGGTTCGCCTCTGACATACGGTATTGGATTTTCAGGCTCCAGACATTGACTCCTTTAGAGGTTCTTGGTAAATGATGCGCCAAGTGGTTGAGAAGAACCTACTGACATACCCGTGAAGCAGTCCACTGAATACAAAGGCGACCTCACGAGAGCGCTCAGGCGGCTTGAGTTCGTCTTATGTAACGAGGCACATGTGGTGCACACATTGAGCCCCATATAGTATTGCCTTTGCTACGATCCTGGGGAGTGGGCGGACAAGGCCCTCGTCTTTTCGTCGCCTGAATACAAGGGATTCGACGCAATGAGTGTTATATGAAGGACATAAGAGGCCGTAGGAGACGGTGAGACGACTTTCGTTCGTTGATCGACCGGCCCTATTACTCACTACACGAATCACCCTCTCAACGTCTCTTGCACCACGCTCACTATATCTCCACCTATCCATATACCTCGCACTCGAGATACCATACCTTCTGTTGTCCCATCACGCCCAAGCCGAGATGTACGCACGCGTCGTCCAGACCCTCGCACTCCTTTTTGCTGCCTCCTTGACTCTCGGTACGCCATACTGCTCGCCAAACATTCCGCCACAGGCTGACTGTCCCATCCGCAGTCTCCGCATCTCCCGCACCCATAGACCCCTTGCAGGCGAACATCATTGCCACGAACCGAAATATTGCGTGCTCAGGACCCCAAGGATGTGCAGGGGTACGTCATCGCATATACGAAGACCGAACATGAAACTCACCGCCACTTAAGGCCAAGAGTACAATTGATGCGTCTACGACCTCTGGCGCCACACATGCCGTTGCGCAATTATCTATTGGGGTTCTCCTCGGAGGTCTCTCGGTTGTCGTTGGAGCCCTCTGATTACCCATACACATAGATCTCACCATAACGATTGTCCATGAGGACCGCAACCTGGACTAACATTCGTTTTGCCTATGACTTACTTGTTAATTATGCGTTTTGAATACCTCATGTCGTGCGACCCAGAGACTCGCGGGACCAGCTGTCAGGTCTTGAGGATCTGGAAAACACGGAGAATACGCTGAAGGCAGGGTTGCCACAAATCATATCCCGTGTTACCATCGAGACCCTGGCTCCCAATAGACCCTTTACCCATATCACGCAGACCATCTGTCACATTGCAATGAGAATTGCGGGACAGGGACCGCCAGAGGCACATACTACAGGACATGCCATACCCCCCGGCCAGCCCATCCGAGAATGCTCAATACGAAATATGTTATGTCCGGCGTCACTCACACGACTTCACGAAGAAGGCGAAGTGATGGACAATATTCACAGATATCGGCCTGTAACTTTGCGCATGAACGATGGTCGAGCCTGAAGACCGACACGACAGCCTGCGCAAGACGTCAAAGACGCACCTGACGGTACCGCTGTCGCAAAGGGCTCCTGCCGGGCGTGCCCCTTGAACCAAAGATGATCTTGGCGACAAGCAAGAGTATATCGCGGGAAGTCCTTTGAGTCCGATTGGACAGACTCACCTTGATAGAGAGCCTTGACGTTACCACACCACGCTGCCAGCTACGATACCACCACTGAAAGGCCAATCGGTAACGTTATACGGCTCAGGCGGTTCTCCCATGGCCACACACGAGGTTACCGCTTGTAAGCTATATGGTAGCTTCTTCAGGAGGCGTTGTGCGGTTCATAATAGCCACAAGGAATCGAATGCCTGCGATGAGTGCATCAGATGATATCGAATGTAATTCCGACCTCGCAGAAAGCTTACCACGTAAAGGAACCCTTCCACTTCCCTTCCTCGCTACGCTTGAGAACCTGTTGCGGGATGACTGCCGTCATGCAAGTCGCACGTTGACTGGTATGGCAAACACCCTTCAAACGGACGCATCTAAGTGAGACCTCGTATCTTCACGTCCGAACAGCAGAGCAATGTCGCATTAATGTGTAGAACACCAGCGACGAACAATTTACATGAGAACCATGATCTTTGTGAGGTTGCACTAAAAATCAGTCCGTGTCACTGGCTCTGAGGAGATAAGGCGCAGATGCTTGCCACGAGGCGATTCGCAAAAGCTGGGAAGATGCCCAGCCAGAGTAAGGAAGTCCGCATAAGACGCCACAATGCTGTAAGACTCTGAAGGCTATCCCGTTGTCTCCTAGCGTCTGTTCATCTAACTCGGTGCCATAAGGACTGCGACCGGTAGTGAACGGCGTAAGCCTAATCTCTGAATAGGATATGCCATGAACGTAGCTGCTCCGTGGTATGTCCGAACGTAGGGCTTCAGGTTCAGACAGTCAGATGCGGGACTCCAAAGTAGCTGACATCGCTATGAAAAGGGAAGAAACGTACATGACGCTGAGTATGCTCCGAGGTCTATGGGGGAGGCATTCTGTGAGCTGTAGTCATGTGTCGAGCTTACTAGGAAGATGAAAGACGGCTCGTCCGCTCATGATCGCAAGGTGCGAGAGCACGTACGGTACTGCATTTGCAGCTTTTCACACGTTCGCAGATTCATTTCTCAGAATAGGACGTTGGGCTTCGCGTCACATGGCAGTCAATGCGCATCGCGCACTCGATGGTGAGGTCAGAGCGCTCATATCGCCACCAATTGAGGGCCATAGAGAAAGATACCATACCCGATAAACAGTAGCGAGCGCGCTCTAGAGGTGTACGAGCCTCTCCGGCGTCTCCTAGAGAGTCTTATATATGTTATCTGCAATGCTTGGAGAAGCTAGACACACCGGGTTCAAGCGTCACAGAACATGTTTCTGCAGCCGGGGGCGAAAGCGCGTGGCCCCCACGCGAGTGCCGATAGAGGAGACGGTCCCTTCCTCGATCAGCGACATTGACTCCGTAGTCTCGACCGTGAGGCCGGAACACACAACGCCCACAAAGCGCGTGTATCAACCCTGGAAGCGATCATAGAAAACCTCACGAACCTTCTGCTCCGCTTTGCCTCCGTGTCCGGACAGATGCTGCCGCGATTGGATTGCATGCAGCGTCCGTACCGTGCGTGCGCTACGCTGGCACGCCGCATCTGCCAACAAAGGTGGAAGCTCGGGAGCGAAGAGCGGACGAGGCTGTGTGCGCGCACAGTGCGTGAGTTGTATGGTGAAGGCAGCCGCATGATCGCAGGCGTGGTCTAACCTCACCTCGGCAGGCCCTGACATTATGAAGAGCAGATAGAGTTGGGAGGCAGCCCGATCGGGCAAATACAAGTACTCACCTGCTTCGGGCAAGGCGCGCAGCAGGTGATCCTCGTGGTCCTCACAAGTCCACTTGGGTGCGACATTGTTCTCGCCAGAAGACCGCCGTGGACAAGGTGCAATGCCGCGCCCAGTGCGTGCCGCTAATTGGACCGGGTCGGCACGGAGTGCTCCAGTGGTACGAGCTGCCTCCAGAAGATTTGGGGCATGTGCGCGCACTCCGACCATGCGCATCTTGGCTCATATCTATGCGCCATTCCCACCTTCTTCCAGCCCCTTCCTTCAGGAAGGCTCCGGACGCCAGGGCCGGCAAACAATGAACGCCCGGACGCCGGAACGGCGAGGGATTGAGTGTGCGGAATATTGCTGGCATCATTGTGAGCAAAGATGCACGTCGGGAGAAGGCAGTTTGTCGGCCGGAGGAGAATACTCCGCCGGACAGCATCGTGATTCCGTCTTCGGGGCGCCGACGAAGGACCTATGGCTGCCCACTCGCTCAGGGTCTCACGAGGACGTCAAGGGGGCTTTTTTGAGCAGGATCAGCGCACGAATAGACGTCTGTCATCGTCAAGTGGCCCCCTGTTCACCTCAATCAATGTTCTGCCTGACGCGCTGCCCTGATTCTGGGCAGGCAGGCGCTCTAGTCGCTGTTTGTCTATGAAAGGCGGGCGTCCACGGCCCAAAGATTTGCAGACTCCCAACGCATGCATCAGACGTACCATTGACAGACGCAGGTCGCTGCAACGTGCAGGTTGCAAGACATCTCATATCAAACGTTGACCAATATAGGCGCACCTTGCAAACCTGCGACAGGCGACCGGATCGTGTAGAGAACGATGGGGCCAGTAGGAGTGCGGCCATTCAGTTCATCACATCATACGTGGACGCGCGCGTTGAGTTGACGCTCCCGCACTCGGTGCTCCTCTTCCATGAGTTTGCCGCCGGCAAAATCTGCAAATGTCCGTAGGCGCAGAGCATGGAGCATACCTCGTCCCACGGTGGCTATCCATTCGGCAAGTCCTCCGTGGCCTTCTGGGTGATTGAGCAGGTCAACAGATGCTGAGCAATGCTAGATATAGCAAGCGATGGGCAACGAGCCGCACTCCCAAATTCCGCCAATTGTACTTAATGATGCGCACGGAGGAGTCTTTATCTGCCCTTCCGCGTCTTCCACGAGCGCATCTCTTCCGATGGAACCCACGTGGCAACCAGAAGTTGCTAGAGAAGAGCCGCGCAATTGTGCATTTGCGAGCGTGTGATCCTGTACTCTGTAGGCGGTCATTTGGCCACCACACCAGTGTTCGTCTGGAAAGAGCAGTTCCGTCCTTGAAGGAGTATGATCAATTCACCTTCAAGCTCTGTAGATGTGTGCAACTTACCTCGCCTGAACGTCATATCGTGGTCAAAGCCGGGGCCTATGAGGATCTCAATCCGAAGTTAACGTATATGAAGTCACCACCGCCGATGACGGCAACGGCGTCCACGGCAGCGGAGACAATAAACCACCGAAAGCCTGCGTCTATACAGTCCGCCTAGGATCAGAACATCACGTACCAGTTGCGTCCAGCCACCATCAACATGCGATGGAACCTCAAGCAACGCGTCTCGCTGCGTAGCGTGAGTATATACATCAACTTACGCCGATTGACGTGCCTCGTCGTGAACTCACTAGCGATGTGGTCGACGGCATCAAATGTTCGACGCTGCTGTCGACACTCGGAAGACAGTAACAGTTGTAGAGACCATAGCACAGCAAGGCCACG